TTAGATTATATTTATACAGTTTTGTAATTCAATATCGATATGTCGTGGTTGATGAACTTGGATGAAATCCGTTAAGAAAATTAAAGAACTAATAAAGTAAATGGGTTGAGATTAGAATATATTTAATGATATTGATTCATAATAGAATAATTGGACTAAGAACAAATTTACTAGAAAGTGAAAAATGAATACAAGGAAGCCTGTATGGGAATGCGAACTATCCAACAGTGCCTAATAAACATCTTAATAATACAGAAAGTTTATAAATACTAAAAAAGAGCAAAAATATACATAGAAGCATATAAATAATAAGATGAAGTTTAATGTCAAGTAAATGGTTAAAAAAAATAATTTCTACTTTCGAGTGTGAAAATTACCTGTTCATCTGAACCCCCTGATGCAAAATTCTCGCCCGTGCTTGAGAACGCAATTGAAGTTACTGACCCTTTGTGACCAAATACAGTATAATAAGGACTTCCTTCAACTAAATCAAATATTCTGAGAGTTCCATCCTCTGAAGCAGATAGAAGGAAGTAGCCAGATGGATGGAAACACACCTTATTGACGGGACCAGTATGTGCTTGAATATAAGTAAAATAATAAATTACTTCCGTAATGTTGAAGAAGCCGATTCATCCTCAAATCCCATAATTTTATGGACATATTTGTACTGCCAGTCGCAAGACAATTGCCACTTGGATGGAAGTCAAAATGAGGAACAAAGCCAGTGACTTCGTTAAATGTATGAATGCATTGCTGATTCTCTACGGACCATAGTTTCACAGTTTTGTCATCCGAAGAAGAGGCGATAACTCGGGAATCAGGAGAAAATCTGTGGTATATGATAAAGAAACAAACCTGCAACACCTAACCCAATTGACATGCTGATTAAGAGAGAATAGAAATTTCTGGCGACACATATTCCACACCTTAAAACTCATAATAAATATAAAACTTGCCTTTACAGATTTATCTGAGGATCCTGTAATAATCTTTTGATTATCAG